CAAGGACTCAGCCTTGGTACATGGGTCGCCAGCTCTACCCACTGAGCTAACCTGGCACACTCAGATAATAAATTATGACATGTTATTATAGATTAAGCTACTCAGCAGTATATGAAGTAATTAAAATGAGCTCCACCTTCACCAGCTACAACGTTAAAGTGATTAACATTACCTCAGTACTAATTGTAATCCATCCAATATATATTACTTTGAAAGTAGGTCATTCTGCATAATGAGCACTTTTATTTCAGTATGTGTTGATGCGAATACTTTGTTTATTAAAATGTTTGGTTACCAATGATCATGCCGATCTCACAGCTCTTGTCCCTGTAGCCGCAGCTCATCATCGTGCCCACCGTGTCGTTCACCATGGCAACTGAGCCTATATCATAGTCCTGCGGAGAGACAGAGCGATAGACAGGTAGGTTTATGTCCTTCCTATTTATAATCTGTATACCAAATAACCTGCCTACACACACATTCATTATGCTAGATCCGTCCGTCAAGAGAAACTGCAGACTGTGACATTGCCTTTTAATGAGAGTCTGAGCTGCATTCTGACAGAGAGCAAAGAAACAAGAGACTGAGAGCAAACATCTAATCAGCTTTCTGCAACACCAGAAATATCACAGCAAAATCAGTTATTGCAGGGTTAAATAAAACAAACTTGTACTTAAAATATCAAAAGTAAATAAAGGCTTAACTTATTTAAACTATTTTATACAATGTTTGCAAGTCTTATCAACTCTTTGCAAACCACCAAAGGTTCCAGTTCAACTGTGTGGAAGAAAGTACTTTGTAGTAATTTGATTAATGGCACAAACTGAAACTATTATTATCCTAATTATTAAGCTATGTGGTACTGCAGGTCAAACCTGCAACAATTCACTCAATCAACCTGAACAAACCCTTAGAAGATGTCGTCCTTCCAGTTATAAAGCAGATCATGTTATTCTAGAAACTCGGGTTACATGACAAAACTGATCTTATCTCACCATGAGAAATCCTGCTAAATGGAGCTAAAAGTTCCTACCTAAAAGATTTCTAAAAGGACTAAAAAACAACGTCTGTTACCATCACTGCAAATAACCACAAGTGGTGCAGTTCATCACGTAAACAGGCTTGTAGGACAGATGTTGCATACAGTGGCACGTCATTAAATGGATCTCAACAAAGAAACTCCCAAGATTCTTATCTGTTCTTTGTGTTTTCAACTGAACTCATTCATGACTAGAGCTGCAACTACTCTACAGATTATTTCCTTGATCAACCAATGGAGCATTTTGTCTATAAAATGTAAAAATATAGTGAAAGTTTCCTGTTATAGCTTCCAACAAGTGTGCGATGGTAGAACAAGGTATAAAGTGAATGGGAATGAGGGAGTACGGTTACAAAGCAAATCAGAGAAATAAAAAGTTTTCTGATTGTTTTACAGCAGTTACATTGTAAAGCACCTCATTACCAGTGCATTACCACACACATACCTGCAGCTCTATACATTTATAGTCTCGCATGGACTTATCTCCACACTTTGTTTTAGTGCTGTGCCAGAGCTGGAGAGCAGAGGAGACAAATGGTGACAGCGAGTCCCAATTTCAGACCCTGCGTGCTGCCCAAAGGTTGGTGCCCAGAAACAAAACACAATACAGGAAGAGGGCAGGGTCTCTGAAGATTTTTAAGGATAATCCTACTTAATATGCCTTTAGGTGACATATTTATATAGCATGTTTTATTTTACCAAGAGACCAAAACCCAAAGATATTCAGGCTATAACCATATAAAATAGAGAAAAGCATCTAATCCTCATATTCAATAAACTGGAACTAGATAATCCTTAACATATTTGCTTAAAAAAATGAAGATTAATCCAAATATTTGCCAATTAATTTTCTGTCAACTGACAAACCAATCAACTGACTGATCAATGCAGCTCTCAACATGACATCTCAATATTCTGCCCATCATATTGCTTTACATCTTTTCACCAAATGTTTTCATCAAATCACCATATGAGCCTCAATAGCTTAGACTGACCCCTCTCCTGTGAATGGCCTCTTTCAATAACATCACCACGTCCTTGCCCTCGACTCCAGAGCAGTTGAAGCCTTTGGTCCAGCGGATCAGGATACTCTGTGTAGAGAGAACATTTAATTAGAATATTAAATATGAAAGAATAAGCTACGTGCTTTCTAAAAAAAACACAGACTAATGGATCTCGTGCAAGAACATTAAAACAATAATTACTGGAGAGTACAAGCTGAATAGATCTGAATTATAGATCTGAATTGGTCTGAAAACGTTTTATTTAATCAGATTTACACAGTTGAACGAGCCTATTGTTTTGTCTTGTTTGATTAAACTTAATTGGGGTTGTCAATGGACAAATCCGACCAGGGGTGTGTGTGTGTGCGTGTGTGTGAGACCTTGTCGATTTCTTTCTGTTCGCAGGGGAAAGAGAAGGTGAAGCCCAGAGGAAGAGTTTGTCCCTTCAGATCCTGAGAGACGAGGAAATCACTGAGACAGGCCGCGATGTGGTCAAACAGCTGGACGGTGAAAAAGACAGAACTGTGAGCATCTCAAAAGAGAATATACAGATAGTGGGGATATCCCGATGATCTAAAATACTTTGTTGTCACCTGTTCTCCAGTTCCCAGCATCATTTCCTGCGGGATGGCACAGATCTGACTGTCCATCTTCAGCACTTTCTGCATCTCCTCCACCACACGAACATGAAGCACCCGGAAGTTTGTTCCACCGAGATCCAACGCCAGGAAGTCGCCTTTCTCTGCCGGGAGGGACAACGAATGGGTTGATCGAGGGTGAAAAAGTACGTTCTTTTATCTGCATTAACTTTTTTATATAGGTTAAAATCAATCAGGCAAAGGATAAATCATGATAAAACTGGTTATTGAGGTGATTTAAAAAGAGAAATACTCATTTCAAATGAATAATGTTTTTGTGTTTTTGTCTTTGTTTGGTGTTTAGTGCAGGTGGAGAATTTCACTGCACATAAAAATATGGAACCAAGAAACAGAGTAGGCTAGACTGTTTTTTGCAGCCCTGAGTTGTGTCTGCAGGTATTCCTTCAGACTGCACAGAGCCCCAACAACCTTCCCCTATAAGGTATGTGCCGTCTGTGTGTAGCCTGAGGTGAAACCCAGGGCAAAAATGACAAACGTCTTTATAAAAGGCTGAAGATGTTAAATCTGCCCAGTAACACCCAAACATTTCATGCTTTTGTTGGCAGAAAAGAAAATGACCCGACTCTCTTCCCATTGGCTCGCAGACCTCAAAGTCCCCAAATGTAAGGGTCTACAGTTGGACACTCTTGATATAAACAACCATCACTGAATTAGATTTATATTAAAGACACATGTTTGTATCATAAGTTTTCTTCAAACTACAAAAAAGAGGCGTCTCTGGAGAGTTTTAAATCCTCAAACAATGCATGCTTAGAAGTTGCTCATGTTGTTTGAACTCTCAGCAGTTCATTCATTCAACTCATTTATTTCTATCTATCTATATTTACGAGTACGGATATTGATATTGACATACACTATCTGTACCGGCTACTCCCTACAGCCAAGTACTTGCTCAACTATAATATTAGTTGATTCCACTAACGTCCAGTCTGAGCTTTTATAGTGCAGTTCCCTGGTTGTCCATCTGTCTAACTAAAAATACAAACAGCCTCACCCGTCCCATCCGGTGTGGCCCTGACGAAGGTGGGCAGCATCTTGACGGGCGCCTTGTGATGACTGTGTTTCCCCAAACCTCGAACGAGAGCCTTCTTCAGCCGAGCAGAAACCTCCTGCAGCTTCTCCAGAGACAGACAGAAAGGCTCCAGGTACTCCTGCACCTGCAGAGAGACAGATATAGATATAAGATAAGATATATGTTCAATGTATACAGTTAACAACTGACGTGAATGTGTTTGCGCAAACTGGACCAACAACCAGTTTATGTTTTAATCACCTTTGCTGTTTTCCTCCCTTTTTTCTGTATTGTTTGGCAACACATTTACGCTTCATGATGCCAATAAAACACTCCAAACTTAAACAACATTAAAACTGTAATAGAGAGAGAAAGCGTTTGAAGCTGCTTTAATAGTTTGATATCTTTTTTTGGTTAATTTTGTCTAGTGTATAAACATTTCACAGTATTTACATCTATACACATATACTATGCAGCACATTTACATACATATTGAGTTAATATTTGTAATGGAGATTGTCCACATAAAGCAGACATAACTTGTTCCATGTGCAATAAAGTTTTTTTTAAGCACATAAGAAAGTACTTTTCAAATAAAATCAGACACTTAATTACGTTAATAATATATTAATATTATAATTTAACCACAAGATGGCAGCGTTTCCTCAACATCTGCACAATGAAACCACAGACAACCACAAAACAGTGTCTGAGATGGAATAAAAAAGCAGTTTTCTTCCACTGTTGGAGTCAGGGATAAGTTTTGGTTCAGGGAAGATACGAAACTACTATTATTATCCTAATTATTAAACTATGTGGTACTTCAAGTCTGAACCGCTGGAGGATGTTATAACGCAGATCATGGTATTCTTGGAACTCATGAGTGTTTATTAGTACAAAATATAAATCAACCAATACATTATGATGTAATTGTTTTTTGATTAAGCAACCCAGCAGTTATAAAGTAATCAAAATCAGCTCCACCATTACCAGCTGTGTTAATAAAGTAATAAACACATTAATGCGGCAATAATTATAATCCAATTACATAATATGTATGAGTCTGCATTTTGAGTACTTGAAGTATGCTTTGATGCTATTACTTATGTAAGATTTTGAATTGAGGTCATATTGATCATTTTACTTAGAACTACTACACAGAGTTTTTAACTGGTAATGAAACAGTCTAAATTTAATACTGAGGCCTCTATATGACTTAAATGAGAAAACAAACAAGACCATGAGTAGAAGGTTATTCTTAATACCTGCCATGGGGTCAGATTTGGTCATTTTCCCCCCTGAAATCAATAAATCGATGCAGTGGAAACACTACCGCTTTTGTCCACAGGGGCCATTAGAATCAACACAGAATGAAAGTTTTCTTTTGTCTTTCAGTAAAAGATCTGAGTACTTCTTTCATCACTGTTTAATACTCGCAGAAAGACTGATATTTTTAACTAAAATTCACCTTGCACAGTGTCTTTGCCTCCCATTCAACTCTCTGACCCTTGGGAGGCTTTTGTCTTTCTACTGCTGAATGTCTGTGTCTATTACAGACCATATCCTGTAATTTTATGATGGTTAAAATGGGGCTTTAAAGTAAAGCATTTAGGCATTTCCTCCTACTGTACGTTAGTCAAGTCCTTCAACCCTCCTCTGACATTGCCTAGTTGACTTTATATCAGTCTGGAAATTAAAGAGTTTAACTCACAACAAATATGACATGCAGTAAAAGAAAAGACATGCATGTGTCTTAAACCTCGAGTGTTTACGCTCCTGTTTCTGTTAAATTAAATGTTTCAGAGACATAGTCTGCAGGAAAAGGACTGGCTGGTACAACATGATTATGATCCTCTGGAGATGACAGCAACAATTCACATTTCTCTTCCTGTTTCCCGCTTCCTTCAAAGCTGGAAAAAAACTCAAAAACTCAACTGCACGGCTTTTAAAAGCTGCACTGGGCTCGAGCTCTAATCTACTAATGTGAATCTATATTTTAACATCAACATGTAATACTCAGGTATAAAACTGCAGTGGAAATGGGTTATTTTTGACATTTTTGTTTATGTCCACGCTGTCTGATTACAGAAGAAACGGAGGGTCAGGGAGTTTTTTAACCTTTGGTTTGACTGATGTGCTTAGGAAGAGGTGTTTTGTGGAAAGTAACTGATGACCACCCTCATCAATAATAAATATGAGCTAACTCACACAAACAGAACATTAATGTGAGATCAAAGCTATACGGTTCTTTGTTAAGGTTAAATCTTAGAGTTAAGATCTGGTTTTTGGTTAGCGTTGGGTAACATTTTGCAGATGTAAGGGAGGGGGTACGTATAGCCTGAAACCTGAAATGATGTGCAGCTTCCTGTGCTGCTTCTATGGACTGCCTTTGTTGTATTGTCTGTATTGGCATTCCCAACAAAGTCAACTTCCTTTTTGGATAATACAGTTAAACTTGAGCACACACAGGGCTCAATTACTTAAAAAAAAGTACTGGAGAGAAATGCTTTAGCAATGATTCATGGAAACACTGACCAAAGTCAAAGGAAAAAAACAACATCTTTTTAACCTTTTAGAAAATACCAGTAACAAGACCCTCAAGACAACCGAACCTGACCCGACTGAAAGAACTGAAATCAGCCCGAAACCTAATTGGCTTACAGCTTCTTGTGGATAAGGGAAGATAAATGTATCACACTGGAATGCCTGCAAGAAAAAACAGCCAAATGCTGCAACGGTGCCAAATGAGCTCATATTTAGCGGTTAGCACAGTATCATCTCAACAGCCAACCTCTTTTTTGGTTGCTAATAGGCCTATATTGTTTCATTTATATGTCAAATGTGATATATGACATTGTTGTGGCGCATGGAGGCGAACTATAAAGAGGTGTCGTGGTTTAAATAAGTTATGGAACCACTGGTGTACAGCCATGTTAGTAGCTATGTGTGGCACAGCAGTGGTTTGCACTAAATGCTAACATCAGCAAGCTAACATGCTCAAAATGAGAATTGTAACATGAAGAAAGTAAAATGTTCACCATTAGCATGCTAATATTTGCTAATTCGGTACAGAGGCTGATGGTAATGTCATAAGTTTTGCAGGTATTGTATTGACCTGATGATGGTCACTAGATGACAAGTCAGAGCATCACCAAAGTCTGTATGTTTTATCCTCTGGGGACCATGAACGTCTGTACCGTCTGTAGTCTTCAGTCCAGTTTGGAGGAACACATTCAACACACAGCAATTAAATCCCCATAAAACCAGAAAACGTTGCATTTTACACTGCTAAATAATTTAAGTAAAAAGCCATGTGTCTTATTTTGTCTAAAAAGAAAAATAATATTGTTAAGTGTGTTTTGCATGTTTTGCATAAAAAACTTAACTTCCTTTTTGGAAAATATATCTAACTTTGTCTTAATAAGGTATTACAGCTAATACTAAGCTAGATTTACCCCGGAGCAAGTTACAACAATGGTTTGCATAACATCCCAGCAGAGGAACAAGATTATTTCCTTTATTTGAAGAGAAAGACCACTTGCACAACTTCTCAATTTAAGAGAAAATAGTCTTGTCCCAGTGTTGGAAATGAAGTTACATTTACAACTGGCTTAAATTTTCAGACATCTTTGTAAACTTTGTTGCTCACTTGAGTTTTATTTAATTATATCTGTGTCCTCATCAGGCCAAATGAGCCAAACTACACCCTCCTGAATCCAATATAAACTGTTCCAGACACACCTGGGTGAATTTGTGAAATGTGTCCGGACATGACACATGTGTGTGCTCAGCAATCGGGGCGTTCAGCGACACCCGGGTTTCTGTACATCCAGATTTCAGCATGGAGGTACTAGACTGGATCACAAACAGGACCAGTTTCTGTCTGTGGAGTGATGATACCATGGTGAATGTTTTCCTTGGCAGACTGGTCTTTTTCTTTTCTCACACATTCACACATGTTCTTTACTATATGGGCCTGAAATACCTCAGACAAGTTTCAACAGTGCTGCTGCTGTCCCAGAAAAATATGATTTGTGTCAAGAAGGAACTGTGTACAATAAACGTCAAGCTTTCTGATAGCACACTGATGGTTATGCAGTTTATGGTTTTATGAGGGTTAATTTAGCATAGAAATTTGTATTTTTTTTTTTTTAAGATTTCACATGGAACAAAAGCCGCCTTCTCATTTCTAGCTGACAACTGTCAATTTAACTGGCTGAAATTATAACTTTCAAGGGCAAATTGAATCGCCAGCTGGCAAAATGAACACTAAGTTTGTAGAAAACTACTTATCCAGCTGACAAAAACCCTGTAAAAGCATCTGATGGCCATAATGCTAACTTACTGAGGCTAAAGCTAATGGGTCCAGCATCCTCACTAGCCGATACGCATAGAAGACATGGAAAATAAAGCATTGTTCTTGTGTTGCCGTGTACAGCTACTGTCATTTACTGTCATTTACTGTCATTTTAACATTTAAATATATTTTAAATACCTCTTATTTGTCATCATTTTGTTTCTGATGATCCTTTTCAGTGTGTTTTTCACCTACAGTGAAGCACATTTGATTGCATTTGTGCATATGAAATGTACTATGTCATAAAGTTTTATTATTGTTATTATTACTATCATTGCTCAGATGTAACATACATTCTGTATATTTCCCAACAGTCTTCAAGTTAATCCTGGATCACATCTGGAGCCACACTGACATCAAGTACACCATACACCATTCCTCTCTTTTTCTTCTTTGTTATCTCTCTCATGAATTACAGTAATTTTCCAGAGGCGTGTTTGATCAGGTCTCATCTCACTCGTTCTTTCTCTGTACCGTTAAACTCTTTCACCTCCTCCTCCTCTCATAGCCTCATATGAGTTCCTTCTCGACTTCCTTGTCTCTTGTCTCTACACGCTCATTCCTGCTTTTACGTAAGCGGAGGCGTGGCTGACTTCATTCCTCCATCGTGACTCTGATGGTTTGGACTATTAAAAAAAACTATATTGGCTTTAGCCATAAATCCCTGAGCAAATATACACAGTCAAGAGACACCAGTGGTAGATCACACAGTGTAGAGATAATCTGTTACAGGTAATAGTCCTACATTTAAGTTTTTATCTTAGTAAAAGTACAAAAGTATCACAGTAACAATATTACTTTTGCATTAGCCCATTTTTAGAATAATGTAAATTATATCATTTGATTATGATTATTTATGCATTAAAGTGTATATTATTTTAATACAGGAGCTGGTAAATGTAGGGCTATATTGTTATTATATTTAGAGCTATATATATATATATATA